TGTGTGTGTGTGTGTGTGTGTGTGTGTTTTTCTAACTGAAGCTGACTCAGACTGCACTTGGCAGTGTTCAGCATTAAATCCTCTGAGTGGTATGATATCTATCTATCTATCTATCTATCTATCTATCTATCTATCTATCTATCTATCTATCTATCTGTTTTCCAGTCATTTTTCTCTCTTGTCTTAATCCTTTGTTGTTGATCATTCCCTCTGTGATGCATCAGAGATCTGCGAGGCAACTCTTTCCAGTGTGGCTGTGAGAACAAGTGGCTGATGACATGGCTGAAAAACACGAATGCCACAGCATCAGATGTCTTCTGCGCAGGCCCCAGTGACATGAAGAGCAAGCGGCTCAATGACCTTCCTATTCCACCGGGCGAATGTATTTCCACAGGTGAAATAACAAGGGCATGATGAAAGGCATTTCTGTCATTCTAAAATCAATAAAAATGTTGAATAATTAATCATTTGCTCTCAAAAAGAAACAGATTCAAGGTTTGCTAACATGTTTCCCCTGAAAACATAGACATATCCACACATGCTGCATAACCTTTGCAAAAAACAAAACAAACAAAACACACACACACACACACACACACACACACAAACACACAAAACACAATACGTTTATATTTGCAGATATAAGAATGAAACTGAGAGCCAAATGCCTGTTCCAAATCTCACAACAATCCATGCAGCAGTTGGTGAAATATTTTGTGCAAAACCTTATGGTCACTTCAAATGACTGTTAAAAAACATACAATCTCAAAAATAAAATATTACTAAGCTGAAAGCCAAATTTAATAGCCCTGAGTACACGAATGAGGCTTCTCAAAGCACTGAAATGTAACTGAAGCTGTGAGTATGTAAATTTTGGTGTTTTCACTTAATCAGCAAACCAGCAGTTTCTGTTTTTGTCCGCATCTCACAGACTTTGTGCGTCATCAGTCCATCCCCATTCAGTCCATATCAGCGGACATCTTCTCCTTCAAAGACGACATCTTTGTAGCGATGGCCGCCCCAAACTCCAACAGCTGCATAGTCATGGAGTGGGATCACATTGAACTGAACTTCAGAAAATTTGATAATATAACAGGTTTGATAACATCCATGAAGCTGGTAATGTTATGTTATTTTTTTTCAGTGTCAGTAGATTTCATGAAAAGACCAAAATAGATCAATGAATGGTCCTGCATACATTTTAACTGCACATCCAAATCATGGATATTGACTAACTGACATCCTCCAGGTCTGAAAACTGAAGTAACAGTTGATAATCAAATGGCCAACTGAGACTTGATCTGACAATTTGAGACAGTTGCCATATATTTAAAATACCCAACTTTACAGAAGAACATTTAAAGAATATTTTTGTGCAAAATACTTTTTTGGTATATAAAAGTAATAACCCCAGCAGCTGTAGTCTCTGTTACATGTGGGTAATCAGATACAGTTCTTCCACCAACTCTGTGTGAAGCTTTTAACCGTGCACCCCACTGATCCTCACTGAACACTTTATTGCAGTAAGACAGGAAATGTCTGATCAAACATCATCTCCCAGCAACCTCCTGCATAAAAAGAAAGAAGGTAACCAGGGGAGCCACTGCTTAGGTTCATCTTCCAACTCACCTGACAACGACGCCTGCTATATGCTAAAGTTAGCTGATAACTAAACACTAGTTGTATAAAAAAGTGAGGCCAGAATCTCTAAAGTCCATTACATTCATCAACAGCTGAAAGAAACAAAAATCCAACTTTGTCATTGGTCTTGTCTTGGTCTGAACTTTGGTCTTTTCATGCTTGACCATAATGATTTTAATACTGTCATCATAGAAGTCATAGAATTCACAGATCCTTCAGAGTATGTTAATTTTCAACCAATACTTTTATTTTCTGTGTTGTATTATTAATGACCAACTTTTCTTCACAGGGAAGTCTGTTGTTGGATGCAAGTCGGTTCTAATGGAAGACCATGTCCTAATAATAGTCACCCAGCTCTTTGGGGGTTCCCACATTTACAAGTTTGATGGTCAACAAAACAAATTCATCAACTTTCAAACTATTGAGGTGTTCAACATCTCGAAGCCAAATGATATTGAAGTCTTTCAGATGGAAGGTCACTGGTACTTTGTGATTGTGGACAGCTCCAAGGCAGGCATGTCTACTCTCTACAAGTGGACTGACCAACCAGAACGCAATGAAACTGGTTTCTACTCCTACCAGTTTCTCCATGAATGGTTTCGTGATACAGATGCTGAGTATGTTGAGGTGGACGGTAAGTCCTACCTGATCTTAGCCAGTCGCTCTCAGTCACCAATCATCTACCTGTGGAACAGGAGTACCTTAAAGTTTATACTTCATAGTGAAATCACAAACGTTGATGATGTAGTGGCTGTCAAAGCTTTCCGGGTGGAGGGTGACTTGTATCTGGCCATGGCTTGCTACATCGGTGACTCCAAAGTCCTCAAGTGGACCAACAAGCAGTTCATTGACGTGCTGCCTCTTCCCTCTCGAGGGGCGATGATCCTCCAGCCGTTCACCTTCGCAGACAGGCACTATCTTGCGCTTGGCAGCGATTACTCTTTCACACAGATCTACCTCTGGGATGCAGAGTCAAAAACATTTCACAAGTTCAAGGACATTTACGTGCAGTCACCCCGGTCATTTACTGTGGTGACCACTGACCGAAGGAGTTTTATTTTCTCCTCCAGCTTCAAGGGGAAATCGATGGTCTTTGAGCATATATTTGTAGATTTAAGCTTATAATAACTACAAAAGCAGTACTGATCAAAATATACAGTGCTTAAAAAAAATTATGAGACCATTGTAAATGCTGGCGGATTAACCTTGCAGAAACATTTAAAAATGACTTGGCAATTACCAGTACTGATAATTTAGGACAGCTGTGGGATGAACCTCATGGTGGTGGTCAAATAAATTTGTTAAGTACTGCATGTTGGTTAGTCGCTTCATAATGAGTGTATGCTGTCAAAGAAGTGTCAAATGCTGTGTATTGTACTTATGCAACTAGATTTATCGTTCTTGGTTTGAAACTAAATTTAATCAAGTTTTCTGCAAATAATGTGATATGGATTCAGAAAATTATGAAGGCTAGGTTAATGTTAGACCAAAGTAACTAAAGGCTGACAGAAATATAATATGACAATGCAACTGCATTAAGAAAATGTTATGGCAATACCAATACATCCTTAAAAAGGCTTGGCTTTTATCATAATTCTGTCAAGCCAACAAGCCAGACACTGTCCACACTAGCCAAAGATATCACAGACTATTACCCTCCTGCCCTACACAGGAAGTTAGTGAGAAGCGTGACCATTTACACCCTACAGCTGATGGTGTAGCTGTGCAAGCAAAACAAACTTTGTATGTCACGTCAAAATGAACACTGGCAAAAGCAAATCATGTTGTATGGTGTTGTATACTCTGTTTAATTTGCCATGTCTGAAGGAAAAAATGACCACTGTTATCGACATTGGTATTGCACAGATGTCACGGTTTTTGTAGTTTCAAAAAATTACAAAAACTGTGACATGTAGCCCTCAAAATTTTGGTATTTGAAAAAAGTGTGCATTTTTGAGGGTTTACGCTTGGAAGTAAAATGCTGAATGTTAGTCAGAAAGTCATGGGGAGTAAAAAAATGGACACTTTCTCTGAGAAGCCATCAAAAATTTTGACGCCATTTCATTGCAGTAAGTGTTATGACTGCAAAGATAAAAGTGCATGATGCACAGTTTTCTTCCTTACCTGAAAACAGAATATCCATCCATCCATCCATCTTCTTCCGCTTTATCCGGGGCCGAGTCGCGGGGGCAGCAGCCTAAGCAGAGAAGCCCAGACCTTCCTCTCCCCAGCCACCTCCTCCATCTTATCTGGGGGAACACCAAGGCGTTCCCAGGCCAGCCGAGAGATATAATCTCTCCAGCGTGTCCTGGGTCTGCCCCGGGGCCTCCTCCCGGTGGGACATGCACGGAACACCAACCCCAGGAGGCGCCCAGGAGGCATCCTTTTCAGATGCCCGAACCAACTTAGCTGGCTCCTTTCGATGTGGAGCAGCAGCTGCTCTACTCTGAGCCCCTCCCGGATGGCCGAACTTCTCACCCTATCTCTAAGGGAGAGGCCAGCCACCCTTCGGAGGAAGCTCATTTCCGCCGCTTGTATCCGCGATCTCGGTCTTTCGGTCACTACACACAGCTCGTGGCCATAGGTGAGGGTAGGGACGTAGATCAACCGGTAAATTGAGAGCTTCGCTTTTACACTCAGCTCCCTCTTCACCATGAGGGACTGGTGCAGCGTCCGCATCACTGCAGCCGCCGCACCAATCTGTCTGTCGATCTCCGACTCCATTCTCCCATCACTCGCGAACAAGACCCCAAGATACTTGAACTCCTTCACTTGGGGCAGGAACTCATCCCCGACCCGGAGTGGGCACTCCACCCTTTTCTGGCTGAGAACCATGGCCTCAGATTTGGAGGTGCTGATCCTCATTCCCGCTGCTTCACACTCGGCTGCGAACCGTTCCAGTGCGAGCTGGAGACCCTCACCCAATGAAGCCAACAGAACCACATCATCCGCAAAAATCAGAGATGAGATTCTGAGGCCACCGAAGTGAAAGCCCTCCGCCACTTGGCTGCGCCTAGAAATCCTGTCCATAAAAATTATGAACAGAATCGGTGACAAAGGGCAGCCCTGGCGGAGCCCATCACCCACCGGGAACGAGTCTGACTTATTGCCGGCAATGCAAACCAAGCTCTTGCAACGGTTGTATAGGGATCGAATGGCCCGTAGCAATGGGCCAGACACCCCATACTCCCGCAACACCTCCCACAGGACACCCCGAGGGACACGGTCGAATGCCTTCTCCAAGTCCACAAAACACATGTAGACTGGTTGGGCAAACTCCCATGCACCCTCAAGTATCCTGGAGAGGATGAAGAGCTGGTCCAGTGTTCCGCGACCAGGACGAAAACCGCATTGTTCCTCCTGTATCCGAGGTTTGACTAGCGGACGAACTCTCCTTTCCAGCACCCTGGCATAGACTTTCCCAGGGAGGCTGAGGAGTGTGATTCCCCTGTAGTTGGAACACACCCTCCGGTCCCCTTTCTTAAAGATGGGGACCACCACCCCGGTCTGCCAGTCCAGGGGTACTGCCCCTGATCTCCACGCAACATTGTAGAGGCGTGTCAACCAGGACAGCCCTACAACGTCCAGAGCCTTCAGGAACTCGGGGCAGACCTCATCAACACCAGGGGCTCTGCCACCAAGGAGTTGTTTAACTGCCTCAGTGACCTCGCCCCCGGAAATTGGCAGGTCATCCCCCTCATCCCCAGACTGCTTCCTCCTCGGAAGACGTGTCAGTGGGATTAAATGGTAAATGGCCTGCATTTGTATAGCGCTTTTCTAGTCCACTAGATTTATATCAAACTACTTTATGGCCATGCTACTGAGTGCCTATTTAATAGCAACATAACATACATAATTTAGTTTTGATTCCTATGCAAAATGTATGATACTAAGTGTTAATATGGAATAATAACCATAATGTCTATTGTGTGCTACTATGTACCTTTAAAGCCTTTGTAGGAGGCCTTTTCATTCAGTCAAAAAACAAGCGTTCCCTTTTCTTTACAGAACGTTTGATATTTGTCATATATTGTAAAGATTTTTTTTCACACATTAAACAATATTGGAGCCTGATTTTTGAAAATTGACAGTTAGATAAAAATGACAAAATGCCAACTAGTATAATCAATGTGTTTTGATAGCTTTGATAACAAGTTTGTCCTTTAATTATTCCTAATGCACTACCAACAGTGATGTATACATATTTTTTCCCACGTCATTAAAAAGTAATGCTGAAAAATAATCATGTTTTTCAGATCTTGAATCCCATGTAAGAACAGTTTGTGGAAATGGATTGAAGAACATTTAACCACACATGTTGTATTAAATTGTTTTTCCATCATGTTTTGCTGATGTAAACATGAAACCATTAAAGTAAAGATAAAGTGTTGCAGACAGCATGTCTTAAACTGAATGTACTGTCCGTGTTTTTTGATTAGCATAAGGACAAAGACAGAATCTCATGTTTTGTTGATTTTAGGAAACAAGAAGATGGATAAAGTATTGTGATAGTGTGGGACAGTTTTCCCTAGTAGTAGTGATTATGGTTCCTTTTATAACCCTGACTTAAATTGCTCGCCACTTGTCTACAGCATGCCATCAACTGTATAAATGATTATTCACTGACCAATCTTAGGGGTTTGTGCTTTACACAAGAGCGTCATAAATACAACTTCAAGCCAAAAAAAAAAGGGAAAACTCACACCAAACAACCATGTAACAACAACAGCACTAGTATAAAAAGGTTTAAGGTTTAGTCACATTTGACAAAGAAAAAGTAATTTAAAGGTTTTCCACGGTAAATCACATCAGGCTCAAAAATACTGTTTATTTGACCTGTATGGTAGAATTTTGGGACACAGGAAGCTCAAATGGCTATTGCATATTTATTCAGTTCAACCAGCAGTTACTTTTGGTCTTACAGCATCACCATCATCATAATCATTATTATCAACAACAACAACAACAATAATACTAAAATCTTGACGACATCTGATAAAATGTCATATTTTGAAATAAAATATAGAGATCAGCTGTATGCTGACAGCGTTAATGCCTGCCTTCGTTTTAATAAAGTTAAACCATCTTATTTTCATGATTTGGCACTAGTTAAGCTATTAAAAAAACAAACAAACAAAACAGAGAAACAAGTATTTTTACCCCAATTCTTATTGACTATTTTATAAATAAAGGGACATTTATTGCCTAATACAGGGGTGGGCAATTCCAGGTCCCGAGGGCCGGTGTCCTGCAGGTTTCAGATCTCACCTTGGGTCAACTCACCTGAATCACATGATTAGTTCGTTTCCAGGCCTCTGGAGAACTTCAGGACATGTTGAGGAGCTAATTTAGCCATTTAAATCAGCTGTGTTGGTTCGACGACACATCTAAAACCTGCAGGGACACCGGCCCTCGGGGCCTGGAATTGCCCACCCCTGGCCTAATACATCATTTGTCACGCTCTCTTACTTGTTTAGGGGTGATTACTATAATAAACACACACAACAGCTCAGCTGTTAGGCATCTCGTTCCGTTTTGGTTATTTTGTTTTAGTCTCTTTCTGTTTTACGAGGTTCTGTAAATGCGACTTGACGCTTTTCTGACGTCGAGACGGACGGAAGTGATGCAAATCGCGTTTCTCGATCGCTTTAATCGGTTTTGACTCTGATTTCTGCAGATGCAGAGGGGTGATGCTTCTGTGAAACTCACTGTGCTTGGGTAACCTTTGTTCCGCCGCAGGACGCGATGGATCCGTCCAGGAGGAGCGAAAGTGACTGGCAGGGGCTGGTCAGTGAGGTGAGACTGCGAAGACGCAGAAAGGACGAGAATGGGGAAAGAGCGTAAAAAACCTTCACTGACGCACAATAATTGTGGGACAGGTGTCCTGACCGGCTAAAATACTGTGGCGTACATGATCGTTTCACTGTTTTAGTTCTGTCTGCTGTCGCTTGTTCGGATCCACTGAAACACTTGTGTCCAAATTAATCCGAGCTCACGGGATTAAATCCCAGCTGCTGTGGTTTCTCTTACCTGCAAGGACTGCACATGTATGAGGAAGAAGATTTGAGTTTCCTTGTGCCTGCTGAGCCCGTTGCCTTGAAAAGTTACTGACTTGCACCACACTGCGAGTTGCAGCTTTAATGAAGAAACACGTTCAGATGGCTGCATATCAACGCGTTTGCTCGAGTATTTCACTTGAGTGCAGTCAGTGTTGAACTGCTTTACATTTAAGCTACTGGAGTAGTTTTATCCTAGTCTATGCTTCATGCTTTGGTTGTGCAATACTTTGCAGACATACACTCATTAGCCACTTTATTAGATACACCCTGCACTGGGTTGAACCCCTTTCCTTTCAGAAGTGCCTTAATTCTTCATGACATTAATTCGACAGAGTACTGGAAACATTTTGGTCCATATTTACATGCTAGCATCACACATCCATGATGTAAAGCTCCTGTCCCACCATCTCTCTCTATTTGACTTAAATCCGGTGAATGTGGAGGCCATTTGAGTACAGTGAACCCCTGCTCAAGAAACTAGTTTTCACAAAGGGTCAGAGGGCATTGTAGCCTCGGTTTCCTGTTCATAGTTGACAGGAGTAGCACCCTGTGTGGTCTTCTGTGGCTGTAGCCCATCTGCTTCAAGATCTCATGTATTGTGCATTCAGAGATGCTCTTCTGCTTTTGAAAATGTTTAACCAATACATCAGATGGACAAGCAGTTAAAATAACAAGGAGCTGCAACGCAAACCGTTGCTATTTTTTTTACCATCAGAAAACGTTTTTGTGCCACTATAGTAGTGTATATATGTGGGTTGTTTTGTTTGTTTGTTTTTCTTTTACATGTTTCACAGTGCATTTGGTCTTTAATGATGACCAGAGAACTCTTTAGCCCTCAAATAATCAAATAACGTTATATCGACTACATGCCAGAAGCTTTTGTTTTTCCTCAAAACCTTGCTTTCTCTGCAGTTCCTGGTTTGTAAGCGGAAGTTGGAGAGTAAGAAAGAAGCTCTTCTGATTCTGTCTAAAGAGCTGGACACCTGTCAGCAGGAGAGGGATCAGTACGAACTGATGGCCAACCAGCTCCGTGAGCGACACCAGGGACTCAAGAAGAAGTACAGAGAGCTCATTGTAAGCTGATCTGACTCCGTTTTAAAAGCTGCATCAGAGCAGAGGATAAAAACTACTGCTATTAAACTTTGTGGCATCTAATGACAACTTCCTTTGTCTTTGTGTCACTGACAGGATGGAGATCCTTCTCTGCCTCCAGAGAAAAGGAATCAAGTAAGAGATTTAAAAATGCTAATCACTGCACGCAGAACTGTCTTAACTGTACTTTGATACACTGGCATTTCACAGTGATGCTGGAGACTTTCAGCAAAGTCAGTAATGTGGTCACAAGTTGGAGATCTCTTTGGATGGGATGCTTGAAGCTTTACTACTAATATTTACTCCTAACTATTAACATCTCTACGGCGCTCTTTGTTTGACAATTACAGCAGCTTTATCTTAGAATAATACATCAGATCTTTGCCTGTCTATTTGTCCACAAACTTCTTATCCGTATCTGATGTTAAGATCTCATCATGCTTCTTAGCATGAAGTGCCAACATCCTAAAATGATCCATTTTTATCTATGTTCCTCTAAAACTTTATAAAGTCATTGTATCATTTTATTTTTACAATGGTAACGTCTGATTTATATCAACAAAAGTTGAGTTTTGTATTATATATTTATCGCGTTACATAGAAACCACTTAGCAACAAGCTCAAATCACCCAGTTTTAGTGTTTATGCGCCTACAGTACAGCACCTTCTAATAGGATGGTATCATTTTCATTTCACAGTCAACCGCATGAACGGCCCAAACAGTGCTGTAGCATGGGTGTGTACTACTTATCATAATGTGTCATAGCATGACACACACAATGTTCTCACAAGTTGCTCTCTGATATAAAACTGTTGGTTAATGACACAGTAACAAAGTCACCACTGAATGAATCACAGATTTAAAAAAAAATAAAAATGTAATGACGATTTTATTTTTATGATGCATTTGTTTACATTCAAACTCAGTGTGCTTAAGATCAACAATAAAAACTGAAAAAACAAGAAGAACAAGAAAATAAAACCTTAAAAGAATTTAACCTGTTTTCTCTCAAAGATCACACAGAAGAAGAAAAAGATTTGGGAAACATATTTAACCACAATTTCTTTCTTTTCTTTTTTTTAAAGAATTTTACGTTTGCTTGTTTGAACCTAATGTTTCAAATTGGAATGATAGAAGCAAATTTTTTTCAAGTACATTATCTGTCGGGCGCTGTACCTGGAAGACTTCTATTATATATATATATTCATTCACAAACCAACTTGACACATGGGGCTAACATGTCTCTGTATTTACTTCATGATCAGGTGAATTTAGCCCAGCTACTGACAGACTCCAGAGAGCGAAACTCTCATCTGTCCGAGGAGGTGAAAGAGCTGAAACAGCGACTACTGGAAGCTCAGGGTGATAACAAGGTATGTTTCTAATGTATATTTGCTGAATCTTTGCCTCTCATTATTCATAAATACATTTCCAACATACCTTTGTACACTTATTTGTCAGTCTAAGTAACGATCAAGTGGATGAGCCTTGTTTATTTTAAGGACAGGTTTCAAATTGTACTGCACAAACACACCAAAGGTGTATAATTGTAGCTTAGTTGAGACTTTTCTTTCTTTGTGCTATCACAGCTTCTACGGATGACCATCACCAAACAGAGGCTGGGAGACGAAGAGGTCGGCGCCCGACACTTTCCCGCGCATGAGCGAGAAGATCTGGTCAAACAGTTAGAAAGGGCGAGAGAGCAGGTGAGAGCCCCCTGCTTGATTTTGACTATTCAGCTGATATTCACATAATGGTTCACTTTTTTATGATTTACATTTATTATATACATTATATACTGCCATTTAATAGTTCTAATTGGTTCTTGCATTAGAAAAAGAAAGTTTATATTTATTTATATTTTATTTGTAAGTATTTTTTTTAATTTATTTTAAAAGCAACCACATGAACCTTATTTCCATTTCAGCAAACCCAGTGTTTTCACCCTTAGCTGTCACAAGGTCACCATATCAGTATCAGATGAATATGATTTAAAAAGTATGATAGTTTAAAATATCACATGAGAAATCAAAGTGTTGTGCAGGAAAAAAATGGAAGCGATTAGCAGTTTTCTTTAAATGTAGGTGAATATTAAAGCTGCTAACACTGGTGGCAATTAGATTTCTTTAAGCTGTGACACTTATTAGATGCTGTGCAGCGAGGTTGCATATCCCTTTCTGTCTGCTATGTGACATTGCAGAACAACCAGTAATTATACTTTAGATAGATGTAAATATATGTCAAGCACAACATGTACCTTTCATCCAAATTGGATTGAATCTGTCCCTTAGGTCAGATTTCCTGTTGCCAGAAGGTGGCGCTAGGATTATAACCGAATATTTGCTTGCAGACCTCTTCTCTTAGCCATAACGTAAAGCTTGGGGGAGATCCGATGATGTTCGTCTGAGTTATAGATGAAATGGCTGACAAAATATCAAAATTCACATTATTTAGCATTTTGATTAAACTGACCAAATAAAAGGCCAGTTTGATTATGAAGGATCTGCATTATTTAGTGTGCAACTGTAAATGGGGGGGAAAGAGAACACAAAAATGCAGGAACGGGGTGCTAGTAAAGCTTTTATGCATAGCCACAAGTGTCATCAACTTTAAGCAATTCTGCTGGTTGTTCAAAGTTTAATTTGTTTTTTGAGTACGTCAAATCTCTCAACAATGGATTAATTTCAGGAAATAATAATAAAATTTGGAGTTTCAAGGAGGTCCTCGCATTAGTTAGAGTTTAATGAGAAGATGATATATATTTGACAAGAAGAGACTTGTATTGCTAGATAAAATTGTTCTACATCTTGAATCTTGTTTGGGTGCAGAACGAGGTGCTGGAGAACAGCGTGAAGTCGCTCACGGATGAGCTGCAGGATGTTCGAGCAGAGCGGGACGTGTTTCAACAGAAGGCTCATCGTCTCAATGTGGAGATGAACCACATTGTAGGGAATGATGATGTCCGCATCTTAGACATCGACGCGCTCTGCATGGAGAACAGGTTTGTTGCTCTTTTAAAAAGATCATTTTAAGTAGTACCTCTGTGATTGGCTGGCATGTTGAAGCAGTGATTTTCAAAAGTCTATTCATGTACACGTGCTGTCTTGCAATATATAGTTACATACACTGATCAGACATAACATTATGACCACTGACAGATCAACTGACTAATTATCTCTTCATCGTGGTACCTGTTAGTGAGTGGGACGTATTAGAAAGCAAGTGAACATTTTGTCCACAGAGTTGATGTGTTGGAAGCGGGAAAAATACGCAAGCATAAGGATAGTTCAGGCTCTGGCCTCTTTCACCAGGATGATGCACCCTGACACAAAAGCAAAAATAGTTCAGGAATGGTTTGAGGATCACAACACCAAGTTTAAAGTGTTGACTTGGTCTCCATATTCCCCCAGATCTCAATCCAATCAAGCATCTGTGGGTTGTGCTGGACAAATAATGAGTCTAGGGACAAATGGGGTCATAATGCTGTGCTTGATCTATATATACAGAATTTAGATAAAGATTTACTGAGAAATTCTTCTCTACTGTTGAAACAGGTTAAACTGAACAGCATTTGTGGTTTCTGACATTTCAGGTATTTGCATGAGCGACTTAATCAACTTCAAGAAGAGGTCAACTTGCTCAAGACAAATCTGCTGAAGTACAAGGTAGTTGTAGTTTTTTTTTCTGTAATTTCATATATATTTATTGTATGTTATCATTTTTTTTAAACTCTTTCTTTTCTCCAAACTGTTTCCTGCTGATGTCAGAGTGCCCTGGAGTGTAGGAAGACCTCTAAAATCAGTGGAAAGCCCAACAGCAGTGCTCTGACTGGGGTGCTTTCTGCTAAACAAGGTCAGAGGAATCATGCTAGTTCAAACATCTACACTTTCTATTATGCACATATTACCCTTTAAATGTGTGAGTTCAGTTTTATTCAGTGTCTCGTGGGAAATGATGACTGCTGTTTCTTTTAACCGTGGCTCGTGACGTGCTTGCAGTGAAGGAACTGCTGCTGTCTGAAGAAAACGGCTGCAGTTTGCCGGTGACTCCTCAGTCCATCTCAGACCTCAAATCTCTCGCCACAGCCCTGCTGGAAACCATCCACGAGAAAAACATGGTGATTCAGCACCAGCGCCAAATCAACAAGTACTAAAATTCAGACTTCACTCGCACTCTTATTATGTGCTCCATAGATCACGGGTGTCAAACTGCATTATAAATAAATGCTCCTGTAGTAAATGAAAGAAATCTGTTAGCATGAGTTGGTGGACTTAAATTGTAAGAAATAAATGTGTAAAATTACAGAAAAAGCTCTGGTGTGCCGTTGCCCAGACTGTTCTGCAGAACGTTTTTGTTAAGTCACAGAAAACTTTTTGTTTTGTTCTTAGTATAAATGGCCTTGGAGTCTTTGCTATTAATAAAGCCTGCAAAATTTATGAAAATGAAGTTAATAGTCCATAATGTATGCCCTCCTTCACATTTTCCAAGACTGCCAGGCTGATTTTGCCCTCTAGGCCTTTTATTTGACACCCCAGCTGTAGATTTTTAGCCACTTCACTTCTTGATGTAATGATGGGTCAACTGCAATATCCTTTTTTTTTTCCCCCATTAGGATTCTTGGAAATCGAGTAGCCGAGCTGGAGAAGAAACTAAAAACACTGGAGATGTCCGGATTATGGAGCCTTCCAGGTTATTATAATTGTCTCAATATACTGAGACATGTGCATATCACTCTAACCTGTGCTAAGAATACTGTTTTTACAATAATTCCTCTTCCTTTTTCTGCCCTTTTGCTTCTTGCAACCTGGAGGCCTGACTTATAATGTGTCTCTGGGAATATGCGGAAGTATGTTTCTCCAAAAACTATGTCATCTACGTCATAAACGCTCAACTTAATCTTCTTCTCATAACTACCAACACTTCTTATCGCTATCTAATCCAACCTTTTTTAAGTAGCTGTTTATGTGAACCACTTTTCTGAAAGCTTACTTTGACTGTTTTGTGATAACAGGGGGAAGAGACGCCATCATCCTGAACACGCAGCTAGTGGATTCGACCGATCCATCTGATTCTCCGGGACAGAACGGTGATTATTCAGTGGAGTTATTCCTCTATTGGTCAACAGCAGTTAAAATAGGAGCTGCATTTCTTGAATGTTATTTTTCTGATTTGTTCTTAAAGGTGACAAAAGGGCAAACAAACCAGCTGAGCACGAGAGCTCTCCAGAAGACAGTGTAACACCAGCTGCGTCAGATTTTCAAGATGACGCACCAACACCATCATCGTGTGTCGAGGCCTCGAACCAAAACTGCTCACCACAGTTGGACGAGCAAGAGTCCTCAAGGCCTCAAACAGAAATGCCAGCTAGTGAGGAGTGCCAGGAAAGTGGCCAATCACAAAGCGCCGCGGTTTTTACCAGTTTTGCAACAGAAGAGGGTCTGAGTGACTCCAGTGCTGATGTGAAATACTTGAACAGACCTGATCCCTCAGACCCCGGCCACTCACAGCAACTCTCAGAGAACTCAGTCCCAACAGCTGGAGGAGCGGAGGAGTCAGATGAATGCACTGTAGGGGGGGAAAGTGTTGAAACAGAGTGTAATGTAATAGAGAGAAATAGTCACGTTACATTATCTACTACTGTGTCTACTGCAGCCTCCGAAGAGCAGCAGGAGGACGTCCTGACTACCGCGGATGTTTGCAGTAGTCAGGAGTTGTGATGTCGCACAGCATTAGGAAAAAATCAAAACTAATTAAAGTATTTACAAAATCCATAAAGCTCTTTAATTATTTTTTAAATAATTCAAAAATCAAGAAAACTGATAAACGAATCTTTGGAAAACAGCATATTAGATTTCAGATGAGTGTGAATGAATCAACAGTGACTCCTACCAAACTGAAGAGTATTAACGATACTCTTCAGATGCTCTATTGTATCTCTGCTTTCACTCGGTGCATTGTCTGAGTTCTGCACCACCTTTTGAACTGATGTCAATGTGACCTAAAGTAACTGGACACCGGTGATTCGTCATCCCCCAAACCATACTCGCAGGAGTAACAATATTCGCTCCTGTGAGAGTTTCTCTGAGAGTTTTAAAACGTTCATTCATTCACTCGCACGTTTCATGTAGTCTGCATATCTAATGTGGCAAAACAGTGATTTCTCTTTATTAACGCCAGAAAAGATGCATGCATCAGTGCTGTATGTGTTATACTTAAAGGTTTCTTTCTGCTTTTTGAAGGTAACATTTACAGAGTTGTCTGCTTTAGGCGTATGAATTCTTTTGCTTATTAAATCACATAATAAAAAGGAGTTAATGATGATCTTTTAAATGACCTTTGTTAGGTCATGGACCGGCTCCTTACTGTCAAGAATTCAGCCCTGGCATGATTTAATTCAGTCACCACGAGGATAAAAGCAATTTGACAAAGATGACAGGAAGCACTGTGTGCTTGTTCTAAATACGATGTGCCCAACGTGAACCAAGCACAAACAGACCTTCTGCTTTACTTAACATTCGCAGCGTATAATCAGCAAAGCCGCATATGACAACGCTATGAGTTCATGAGACCGTATGATGATGTGATATGTCAACAATGTAAAAGCTAACTCAAATGGTTAACATTCAGAGACTACATGTTCTAGTAGTGCTTTTTTATCACATCAAATATTACGAAACGGTCAGATAATGTACAGAACAAGCAATATGTTATCAGAAAGTATAATAAAAAATGTGGTTATGATCTGAGAGGAGAGCTAAAAAAGAAAAAAATAGGGTGAACAACAAAGAAGAGCTGGTTCAAATTAACCTGTGCAGTGAATTTGTGGAATAATATGGAGAAGTTTTTTGAAAATGTGCACAAATATAAATCAGTCTTAAGAAATTATACATGGAAAAAACCACTTATAAATCAGTATATGGAAGCAGAGTATTAAATATTAAACTCTGCGTGGATATTTGGGTTGAACACTGAGGTGATATGATGGTTATACTGTGCATAAAGATATAAAAATATTTTTATATTGTTGTATAGGTACATTTATGTATAGATACAGGTATATATTATGCTCTATAACCAAAAACAGACATATGATTTAAACAGGAAGTAGGAATTGGAAAGCATTTGCTTCCTTCTACTCCTTTTCGAACAGGAAATGGTCAGTATTTTATGGGGGATCAGTCTGTGGAGTTTATTTAATATAATGGCTTCTTTATTTCATACCCATTTTTTAATATTTATTAACATTTGTTACTTATATGTTGGAAATAAAGATTTCATTCCTTTTATTCATTCAAATATGAGATGAGAGAGATGATGAGATGAGATGAGATAGCCTTTATTTGTCAGTTGCAGGTCTTTTGCCCACAACCGAGATGACAGACCTTGCCGACCGTACATACAATACACAAACATCACATTGGGGAGACGGGTCAGGCTAGATAGCGAGGAAAAAAAACATCGAAATGTGTAACACAAAAGGATAATACAGGAATGCACAGATATCAACACACCATGTGTTAAATGCTATACGACAGCATGCTACTGTGTAAATTAAGACAGTCGGTTGTTTCTTTTATCTGACCTAATTTATTGACAGACATTTGATAATTACAAGAGTCATTTCTCGAAGCTCCTCCTGAAATATAACACACTGACATCTTGATCTTTTTTTTTTTTTTTATTAGAAAATTTGTACAAATTACCTTTTGTTTTTTACTTTAAAAACCATTGTATTTGTATGCATTTTTATGTATTCTGTATTTATTTATTTTTACACAAGACCACAGCTACGACTAACTAACTTCGAGCTACAAAGACAGCACAGCTGAGGCTGATGGTACTGGAATTTATTTCAATAATTTTGGTCACAACTTAAGGACCAGGATAAGCTGAGAGGTGAATCTGATGATGGAGCCAAAGGAAAAGCAGTCCAATCATATATTTGGTTTGTTGATACTCCAACCAACCAACTGTACCATTACTAATATTGAACACCATAATTATGCTAATTTGTAGTACGAAAACTCTTGAACAATTATTAAAGCATTTTTCTAATACTTCTAAGAAGCTACTATGCATTTTGGCAGGATGTGGGTTTAACCACCTCGTTATTTTTTTTCTTGGTATCAAACTGGAAGTAGAGTATAGCACACTACTGTAGGTTAATTCCTCCTCAGCCGCCTGGAGTACTGCTTAAAGTTCATATTCCAGAGATTGGGGGACGAAACCCCAATAATACAGCATGCGAGCCTTCGGCCTGCGTTTCCATGCAGCAGGCTCCCAGCGTCTCCACCATGCCCTAAGTCGTCTATCTTTTCATGAATCACCACTGCTCTCCCAAACACAGACAGGCTTCCAAACAGTGTTGCATCAGATTCTAGCATTGTATTAATCTTCCCTTGCTGGGGCTCAAAGTTTCCAAAGTCTCCAGGGTGGTTAGGGTGATTTACACCATATGGATTGTAGTGGCCACCGGTGGAGTCACATCCCCGGCTCAGGTCTCCATACTGATGGATGTGCACCGCTCTGGGCTCCGGACTGCCGTCTCTGGGGAAGCCACTAAACCGGAGAAGGACCTTGACTTTCTCCTGAGGATGATCCTGCTTGAACAACACATGGCCGTACACTTTGGGCAGGTCCTCCGGGAGAGAGGTGCTGGGTCTCACCTTGCAGACTGCATACAGGGTGCCGTTGTTCTGCAAGACCTCTGGAGCCAATGTGTCGCTGGATGCTAAGACACATTGTTGACAGCCTGCCAGCAAAACCAACAAAGCAGCTTCCAGTATACCCACTGACCTGTAAGATATTAAAAAAAAATTAGGACAAGGCCCCTTTGGCATGAAGGACAATTAGTGACTATAGACCAATTAAGGCAATATCTAGATTGTTCACCTTGGTAAAAAAAAAAAACGTCCTGCTATTGCATTTCACAATACAGCAGTACATTCAGAAATATTGTTATTGTTAAGAATCCACACTGGGGAAGCTGTAATTATGTAATTATTATCGCTGACATGTTATGTAACTGCTAAAACTCAACTCTACACAGGGTTTAAACGAGCCTCTCTTATATCATAGAACAATTTTACATAATTTTTATTTACAATCTCCATCTGCATCTAGGTATAAGGTGTACTTTAATTTACTTTAATGTAAAACTTCAGTGTTTCTAAGTCTGAGGACAAAGTGGCACTCAAAAGCTTCTCAGTTAATGTTTTTCTGACGATGTTTTTAGGCGCACACAACATCGCCCGAAAGTACAAGTGGTTAACTACAGACTAAATGTCGCAGGAATGCAAATAAAGTTAAGTACACAGTGCCAAACAAAGTCCACTTACGCGTATCGATGCATGGTCACCTGTAAAAGGCGCAGAAAAGGCTGTAAATTAAACGTAATGGTTTTCACAAGCCGAGCGCTGCAGTCTGCAGGGTGAGGATGCAAAGCGTTTTCAAACAATGTTGTGTAAACTCTTGTGAACAAATGGGCGTTGCTGTTTGGCGAGGGTGGAGCAAGGGACTTGACAAGTCTTTTGATGATTTGATGAGTAGATCTCGAAATATTCGACCCCGTTACATAACCGTTCAGTTTGTGGGTAACAACAGAAAATGAAATATTTTATTGTTCTCACGTGGTATCACACGGAGTCATTTTAACAAACCGAGGACGTTTTGCCTGATAAGAGCATAATCACGTCTGTGTAAACTCGATTCATAGAAACCTTAACGCTCAATGTACCACGTTCTCCAACCACGTTTGTCCGTGATTTGGGAGAGGGCGCAAACTGACAGGGTCAGCCTGATGTTGCTTGTGTCGCACTTGTGCCCATTATTATTATTATTATTATTATTATTATTATTATTATTATTATTTAAAATGAAAGGGCAGCACAGAGTCCTATGAAAAACTAAGTACATCTATTACTGCTCCCACAGGAATTAAGAGCAGCCAGATGTTCCTAATCAAATACACTTGATAGTCAATCGTCAGAAAGTGTGAGCACCTCCATAAAAGCCAGTTTGTTGGTCTGGAGCATTCAGGTGCCGCAGTCTTCCCAGGAGTGGATATCCCAGCAAATGTATACATAAGTTCATAAATGTATTAAGAATAAATAGCTAAATAAAACAAGAGCAGTTAGCATGTTAAATGTTTACATTCATGGCAATACAAATAGAAAAAGCCTGAACAAGTATGGCTTGTTTGGAAGGGTGTCAAGGACAAAGTGTCTTCTTTCCAGGAAAACCATGACAGCACAACTTAGGTTTACAAAGCTGAACAAATCACAACTCCTGTAGAACAATGTCCTTTGGACAGATTGGAGCAGAGTGGAGATGTTAGGCAATAATGCAAAGTGCCACATTTGGTGAAAACCAAACATAGCATTTTCAGGGGTGATGAGGGGTGATGATTTGCAGTAGTTTGCAGCCACAGGGTCTGGGCACCTTGCAGTCAGTTGACCATGAAGTCCTCTGTATACCAAAGTATTCAGTAGTCAAATGTGAGCCCATCTTAGCCAAAAAAACTGATCCTGCAACAGGACAATGAATCCAAGGAGACCTGCAAATCTACAGCAGAATGTCTGACAAAGTAAAGAATCGTAGTGTTGCAATGGCCGGTGTGGTGGGGCGTTACGAGAGCTGTGCATGAACCAATGAATGCAAACCTCAATGAAATGAAGCACTCTGCAGAGTCGGCCATAATTCCTCCACAGTGATATATGACACTAGGACTTTATAGAACCCATGGGAAAACCTTTCATATGACTTTATAGTAGAATAAAAAATATTTTTGATCTATGCTCAATCATCCAGGTAAGTAAATCTGTACTGTTTATAAGGTTTCGGTGGATGAGTGACAAAATGTTTCTCCCACTGAAAACGTTACATCCATATGAACACTAAAAATATATATATATAATTTTGTTAACTGTAATAGATTAGGCCTAGAATTTTCCCCCAGTGACACACTATAAGCTCCTACCACCACTTCTAAAACATCTGTTTTCGTAATAATAAATAGATGTGCCTGATTTCCTGTGTGGTACGATTATCAAATTCATTGTTTAGGGACCAGTAGCTCAAACAAATGGGCAAAAAACGTGTTTTTATTTGCTTGTTTTTAATGTGCCAAATTTCTTTGAAATCCAATAGAAAATAAAAAGTATTATATGGTTATATGACTATATATAGAGCATTGATAATAAGTGAAAATCCATTTGAAAGAGATTGCCGTGGAAACACCAGTGAAGACTCCACAACAGTAGGTGGCGCTTGCTGAAATTGTGTTACACAAATACGAAAAGAAGAAAACACTTCGGTCGGAGAACTTGCAGCACAGGAATCAGGAAATATAACCTGCCGGGTAGACCTGTGCCCGCGTTAATTGTTTCACAGAAAGCCACATTTTACCTTTAAGATGTCAAAAAGACATCGTTTGGATTTAGGTGATGACTACTCCTCCAGCAAGAAGAGGTCCGACGGGTGAGTGAAGTCCCACAGTTATCGCTCTCAAACTAGTCGGGTACAAGCTAACTGCTAGCTGCCGCTCTCGGTCACCATGGATGGAAGATGGAAGCTGAGAAAATATAACCCTAAGCTGCTCATGCTGCAGCTCTGCTTTATTCGCTGTTTCTTGATAGCACCTGAATGATCGTGCAGCGCGAACAGAAACGTGCTAAGTGCTTGTATTAAAAAAAATACCGTAGACGTTGGGCTAACAAACGAAGCATCAACGTTACCTTCATCGTAGCGGGGGCACGTGTGTTTGGCTAACGTTAACATAGCTCCTTATCTAACCCGTGTTGGTTCATCTAGCCAGCCGTGGCTTCGATTTAAAAGACTGTGATTTGGTTCTTAAAATAGCCATCTAGTGTTGTACTATACTAGCTGCGAATTAAAATTGTCCTTGGCGCCGATTAAGCTAGCAGAAACTTTAGCGTCTCTTAGCACTCACATGTTTTACGTTGTGCTCGTGTGTGTTTATCTCAGTGAAAACCTCCACAACAGACTTACAGATGCGAAAGAAATCGTGGCAATTCTTTTTAAATTTGCAGGATTTCATTGAGATTGATTGTTCAAACTATCAGTAAAAGTAGACTAAATATTGACAGTTTGCAAATAAGTATATTGTGACCCATTAATTGTAAACAATTTGTATAAAAATAAATAAACATATAAACTTTTAAGGCCTCAAAGTATTTGATGTGATGTTAGAAACATTTGCTGTAACTGTGTGTGCTTGTTAAACTGACAGTGTGCACCCACTGCAGATATGTCAGTATCTGTCTAAATGCAAAAGTAAACGTCAGGTAGTTTAGAAGTGGCACTGCTATAAGATCATAATTTAAACAGACTAGTGTCAGGTTCGTTTTATAACTTTAAAATATCACAACACAAAATCATAAGTATGAGGACAGCGGTGTAGAATGCAAAGGAGTGACAGTTGGGTTCAAGGTGGGCGTGGGATTACACCAGGGATCGGTTCTGAGCTCCTGCTTGATTGCCATGGTGATGGACAGACTGACAGATGAGTTCAGGCAGGATCCTCTGTGGACTATGAAAACAGAGGATGGATCTGCAGAGAGCAGGTGGAGGAGAGTCTGGATAGAAAAAGAATGAAAGTCAGTAGAACTAAGACAGAATACATGTGTGCGTGAATGAGAGGGAGACAAGTGGAAAGGTGGAGTTACAAGTAGTAGAGATGGTAAAGATGGATGAGTTTAAATAGCTATGAACTGAGGAAAAGAAATGTGAAGAAGAGAGTGCAGGTAGAGTGGTGTGGGTGGAGACCAGTGTCAGGGGTGGTGTGAGACAGAAGGATGGAAGCAAGAGTGAAAGGGGACATTTATGAGACAGTTGTGTAACCTGCTATGACTCTGATTTGGACATGGTGGCACTGACAGAAAGGTAGGTGGCTGAGCTGGTGATGTCAGGTTTTTATTAAGAGTGACCAGAATAGGCAGTGCATTAGAGGGACAGCTCAGGTTAAGCAGTTTGGAGACGAAATTATAGAGGCAGAAAGAGGAGGGATAGTAGATATATTGCACAAATGATGTTGAGTATGATGTTTCCAAGCATGAGGGAATGAGGAGGACCCCAGACAAGATTCATGGATGTAGTGAAGGAGGACTTCATTACATCCATGGGTATTGTAGTGGGTGCGATAGAGGAGGATGCAAGGGATAGGGTGAGATGGAGGCTCACTATGGCAAATAAATTTGCAATAGGCTGTCATTTAGTGGCTATCTATTAAAGTGGTGAAAAGGTCGGTAGACAGTTTAAACATGTTGAACGCATCAAGCATGCTTGAATATGGGAAACATTGGACAATGTCCCAACTTTACTCTCATTGCCCTGAGATTGCAAACTGTAGCCTGATTATTTCTTTTACAATTAGAATGTTGACAATGATGTGCTGTTCTAATGTTGACAGGAGAGACCGGGACCGTGACAGAGACCGCGAGGACCGTTCGAGGGATAGGGACCGAGACAGAGACCGTGATCGGGACAGAGACCGGGACAGAGAACCAAAGCCATCTAGTGCCCCATCTAACAGCACACCCGCTGCTTCAGCCTTACCACCGCTCAAGCAAATGGTCCTACAACAGCAGATCAACCCATTCACCAACCTGCCCCATACTCCCCGCTACTATGAGATCCTGAAGAAGAGGCTACAGCTTCCAGTGTGGGAGTACAAGGAAAGCTTCACTGACATCATCACACGTCACCAAAGCTTTGTGCTTGTTGGAGAGACTGGCTCCGGCAAGACAACACAGGTATGAAGTCAAGTAGATTGGTGCGTCTCTTATGTGTCAGTAATCTTGTGCTACCCTTGCTGAAAAAAGCCAACAGTGTGATGGCACAGTGTAAATGCATATCATTTTTTTTAAAAATTGATATTCTCTTGATTTGGTTTTATTAGATTCTCTGCAACCTTTGATTAAATCTGCAGATCCCACAGTGGTGTGTGGATATGGTTAGAAGCTTGCCTGGTCCTAAGCGGGCAGTAGCCTGTACTCAGCCCAGAAGAGTAGCAGCCATGAGTGTGGCTCAGAGGGTGGCGGACGAAATGGACGTCATGCTTGGACAGGAAGTTGGCTACTCCATCCGATTTGAGGATTGTAGCTCTGCCAAGACTATATTAAAGTAAGTGGTGCTGTGAGTGAATGAGATGGTTTGATTCAGAGAATCTGCTTTTCACTGGCACAGAGCAGCCCAGCCTAACAAAGCATTTTTGTTTCTTCAGGTACATGACAGACGGTATGTTGTTAAGAGAGGCCATGAATGACCCACTGCTGGAACGATATGGTGTGATCATTCTGGATGAGGCTCATGAGAGAACTCTGGCCACAGACATCCTGATGGGAGTACTGAAAGAAGTGGTTCGTCAGAGATCAGATCTGAAGGTATTTTTTTTTTCTTCACCCAAGTGGGATGTAATTTTAATGTATCTATGTCTTTACAAACAGGTGCTTCCTAGATTAAAAAACCCCCAAAAAAAACCAAAAAACCAACTAATCTAGCTGATTTAAAAACAAGATTTAATTTCTACTCAGAATATTTAAAACATTTTGTAAGGAAAACAAAAGCAGGTGTGCCAGGTGAATTATGCTTCTTTCTAGTTGCCTCAGAAGTTGGATGTTGGATTTAGGAGTGACACCACTCACAAGTTGAGTATGTTCCAGTAGTAAAGTTAGAAATGCAACGAGCAGCAGGATTTGTTTAGCCATTCATGCATCAGTAGGAAATGGACAGTTCAGTAGGAAATATCACTAATGGAGCATGTCAGTGGTCATTAGCCATGTTAAATTAAGCAGTGTCTACTGGAGGTGGCCTTTGATGCTTGCCATGGTTGTAATTTGTTATCACTTTAGTTATCCCCAGAAAATGTAATTTTGCACACAAAGCTGGATTGGATGTGGCCACTAAAGACGCTGGTTAGAATTCCAACCAGGGACAAAGACCAGAAGAGACAGGAAGTCAGAAATTGGGACAGTGTGGAGAATCTGGTCAATGTAAAAAAACAAAACAAAAAAGAAACCTGGGGTAGGCTAAAACCTCCACTTTTAGAGGTTTCTGGTGTGATTTGAAGTTGTGTGAATGACAGAAGAAAATGCAGATGGGGTATTTAATGTATAGAGAAGGATGATTGCATACATAGGAATTTTCATAAAAGCTCCATCTTTTGTTACCATGTAATAACATTAAGAGCACTATACAGCTAATATCATACAGAGATGATACCATTGCAGATATTTGTAAGATTTAAGTATTTTATATACCCACATATAAACTTTGTGTGCAGGTGATTGTCATGAGTGCCACACTAGATGCTGGGAAGTTCCAGGTATACTTTGACAGCTGTCCTCTTCTAACTATTCCTGGACGTACACATCCTGTTGAGATCTTTTACACTCCGGAGCCAGAGCGGGACTACCTTGAGGCGGCAATCCGTACTGTCATCCAGATTCATATGTGTGAGGAAGAGGAAGGTGATTGTCTTCTCTTCCTCACCGGTCAAGAGGTAAAGCTCATAATTCTCAGGTTACAGTTCCAGTAGACTTTAATTTGAAGCAGCACACCCTCCACTGATTCAAAATGCAAGGTTATAATACTTTTTTTTTTTTTTTTTTTGTTCTTTCAGGAAATTGATGAGGCATGCAAACGGATCAAGCGTGAGGTAGATGACCTGGGTCCTGAGGTCGGAGACATCAAAATCATTCCACTGTATTCCACGTTGCCTCCACAGCAGCAACAAAGAATCTTTGAGCCTCCTCCTCCAAGGAAGCCAAATGGTGCAATAGGAAGAAAGGTACAAGTTTGAAATAAAGTCAAGGAGATTAAGGTTTTAAAATGCATTTCCTGTAAATTTGCTGAAGGTATTACATTCGCAGATGGTTTTTAAGGCTAGTGGAGAATAATGATGACCAATAACATTCATTTTGTACATCAGTTTTAAAGTTATTGCAGTTTCACGTCATTTACATAGTTGTCTTTATTATCTCAATAGCCTGCATTGTAAGATGTAGGTTGTTTTTTTTTTTTGACTGACACTAGGGGGCACTAAAGTATTCCTGAAGTCTGATTCTGGGACGCAAATGTTACCCTGTGTGTATTACAAATGGAAAGAAAAGAAACTGATTTCTGATAATGCACAGTAGATCAGACCAAGGATAATATATAACAGAATTCTTATATCTTTAAGAAAAATGCATATTCAGGCCATTTTTGGCAAAGAAAAAGTGCCAATACTGTGCTGTGGCCTAAATATAATGGATGAGTTTTGCTTTTGTGTGCAGAAACCCCTTTTAAACAAACAAACAGATTCTCACCTATCAGGTTTCAAATATTTTACATCACTTTGCTTCTTCCCTCAGGTTGTGGTGTCGACAAACATCGCTGAGACTTCTCTAACAATTGATGGCGTGGTGTTTGTCATTGACCCTGGATTTGCCAAACAAAAGGTAGACCAAAAGTGACTAACCTGATTGCTCAGCTTTATGCTTAGTTTGGTCTCAAGTGATGTGAAAGTGACTGAAATGTAGATGTTTATGATTTTGTTTTTGTTTTTTTCATCTCATTGTAGTAATCTATCATGAGAGCTGTTGTACCTAAACATGCTTTGCCACGTGTGTCTAGGTGTACAATCCTCGAATCAGAGTGGAGTCTCTGCTCGTTACAGCCATCAGTAAAGCTTCTGCCCAGCAGAGGGCAGGACGAGCTGGAAGAACACGTCCAGGGAAATGCTTCCGTCTCTACACAGAGAAGGCCTACAAAACAGAGATGCAGGCAAGTGATTTTGTTGTTGTTGAGGTTTGGATAAAGGCATCGTAAACTGTGAAGGACCTTGTATGTCCTTCACAGGGGACACACAGATTTTCAAATGCACCTGAAATTTTGGTTTGGAGGCTTTTGCAAAGAAGCGGCAGTGTGAGTCACAGAAGCCCAAAATGACATCAGCTCATCAAATGAAAGGAAACTTTATACCGAATACTGAGTTATGCTGAACTAACCTGATTCCTGAAACATTGAAATAAAGTTATATTGTAGTAAACTTTCCTAAATTAGAGGCATACCATCAGACTGCTGCCTTCATATGGATGCAGCAGTGTCAAGAAGTAAGAGTTTACACAGTGTAAATACTGCAGACGTCACTTCACATTCATGATCATTTGTAGATCACGCGGATTGCTTGAATGGTGATCACTCAAGCACAAAGATTTAAACTCTTTGCTGCCTTCGAAGTGAACAATCTGCCATATAAATTCAGCGGTATGTCTTCTCCACAGTTTGCCCTTGTACATAGGTCGCTCATGTTGTGTGACAAAGGCTCTCAGACATTATGCTAAGAGCTCTGCCCTTGTTAGCACCTCATATCCCCTCACTTCACCACATCAGGTTAATCTTTGTGCTGCTCGCTCCTTCTTCAGGATAACAACAGTCATTATATTTGACTTTATTATCGTCCCTTTTTAGGATAACACATACCCTGAGATTCTTCGCTCAAACTTGGGATCTGTAGTGCTTCAGCTTAAAAAGCTGGGTATTGATGACCTCGTCCACTTTGACTTCATGGATCCACCTGGTAAGTCAGCCTGCAGTCTTATTGTGAACTGTAAGTAGTCCTTTTATGCTAGTTAGCCATGGCTAGCTGACCTCACAGTCTCTCCTCCATGCAGCTCCTGAGACGTTGATGAGGGCCCTTGAGCTGCTTAACTACCTGGCAGCTCTCAACGATGACGGTGACCTGACGGAGCTGGGCTCCATGATGGCAGAATTTCCTCTGGACCCCCAACTGGCAAAGATGGTCATTGCGAGCTGCGAGTTTAACTGCTCCAACGAGATCCTTTCCATTACTGCCATGCTGTCAGGTAATGCCCAGGACTGGGCTGACATCTTACTTGCCTGCTGTAGGCCAAGTCCCTTTGGGTTAACACTTCTGATTACAGGTAGTGTTAAAAATAATCCCAATGTACGTCCAGTTTGTGCACATTTTCTACTCCTCTAAACCAGCCATTCCCAAAGTCAAGAGTGCTGCGACCCATTTAAAACACAGAATATCCCACGGGGCCCACCAAGTCTTATCTATCTCTTGCATAATAAATTTACTGAATAATGATGAGATGTATAGAAAGCTTATTAAAGAGGTGCTATTATCCTTTTCTTTATTCTGTCTCATGTATAAAAGGTACTGTCAAACTGAGGGATGCTCATAGAGCTGGGCGATATGAGATTTTTTTCATATCAGGATATGTTTTTTTCATTTCAGGCGATAACGATATCTATCACGATATAAGCCAAATAACTATATTTGTAAGATTTAAATGTG